AAAGGTATTATGAGATTGTACTTGTCTGCTAGAATCAGATCGAGCAGATCGAGCTGATGGAATAAAGAAAACAGAGACAGTTTAATCAACACGTGGATGCTTCGGAACAGAAAGAGTAGCACCATGTATTTCTAAGTCATGATCACGCTTTCGGGCATACTCAACAACTTTGCCAAATGATAGAAAATTTCGATTAATTACGAATTCACGGATTTCATACCGTAATCCTTCCAGGAATAACTAAATTTTCATCGTCTTCATAACATGTAACGTCTCTAGCTAATGGTTGCTCAATCCTTTAATGAAGATCGTTATATTTCTATCGACTACCTTGACCATCTCCTTCTTCAATTCTCTGACAGAAATTTCATCACTACACGAGACATGGTTCTCTAAACCAATCAATTCACTTCGTAGAGTTATTTCAATCGGACTCGATTCTTTATGACCACTAAGGTCGGAATGAAAATCATCTTCTTAGTCATCACCGAAACGAAGGTAATGACATACTCGAACAGAAACGGAATCAATTTGTAGTTTCTTGGTAACCTTGTGACTTTTCCTGATCCAAGTGTGAGTCATATGCTTCCAGTAGTATAGGCCTCTACTACTATTCACACCTACTCATACTCGTCCCAAGTATTGTCTCGCAGTTCCTAAGTCACCATTCAAAAGTTTTCACAAAACAACTTTTCACACCTAAGTGTGTTCAAACAAGTACATAGTGCAATTTCTCCTAGACTCAACTAGGGATTTCACGTTTCTATCAAACATGTCTTGGATTTCTTAAATTCATTTTTTTCTAGAATTCCTTTATGCATAAGCTCGATCTAGCATATCCTAATATTTTTCCTAAGTCGAAAGGAATTTCACTTCCATATTCTTCATATAAATTCTTTCTTGGATAGTGTCTACTCTGCAAGACACACTATACCAAAATTTATTCTAGCAGTGTGGAGATAAACGATTTCCAACTACCTATATCATCTTCTATCTCATGCAAGTCATTATGCATATTTGTTCATTTCATTATCCTTCTATGACATCGTCATTCCTGTATATGAGTAAGTCTTCTTCTCATGGTTGTATCTTTTAAGTCTTCTTCATAGGAGTCTATCCAAAGAAATCCGCATTATAGCTGCATCTCAGCATGTTCTACTAGCTTCAACTTGGTTCTATGTCATTCCTAACTAAAACATCTCTTCTCATACAATACTATGAATGTATATCTTCTTCAACTAAGTACTCTACCTTACTCTAACAAGTAAGTCACTCAACCTTTTCACAATCAAATAACCTATTTCACCATCCTAATCATGTATGTTAAAGTCGACTTAACACACAATGGAACTTTCATAAGGATGTGATAGAAGTCAATCGTCACTTAGTATTATTAAATACTAAGTCTGAACATCCTGTATAGGGTTACTACTTGAACTATATACTACGTCAAAATGTTTAGGCAAAGTCTTGGCCTATTAAGTCTGAAAACTTCATTAGCCTTTCCTTTGATCTTCATTTAGTTCTTCTAAATCTTGAACAACATCAATTACGATACTGTCGAAGTATTGATCACCATCTTCGGTTCTTCTGACTCTATAAACAATCACTGCTTCAATGTGGACAGTGGTGAAACAACTTTATAGATTGCACCAACACATTTATCTCGTCCAAATGTGTTTCAAACGCACATCATTCTTCCAAAGATGTTATTATTGCACTAAACATAGTTTGAATGTACAACACCACTCTATAGGTGTTAATACACTATTTATGATATTACTTGTTAAATATTATTTTACAATATCCCTCAATCGTTTATCTATAAAATTATCGGAGTCGACTATCATAAGTCTTTTTATTACTTCGAAAAGTTTCATATCAGTTCTAATATAGAAAATTTTAAATTTGGAATATATAAAATTTCCTCTTCCATATTATGGTCGGCAACAGACCTTAAACTTTCTCAAGTAATAGTAATATAAGTAAGCAACCTAAGGCACACTATATTCATTTGTCATTTAGCACATATTAGAATATAAGGCATATCTCCTCTAATATTCTAGTGCTTGTCCATTTAGGTATTCAACCTAAAATATATTAGGCACATATCGTACCATCATCCCTTAGCAATCCATGTTTAAGTCTAGAAATTCTCAAAATTCCTAGTTCACTTAAACTAATTCTATAAAAATGTTGAAGTAACTTAATATTTTAAAGTACTAGGGTTTATCACTACCCAATACCCCACTTAAATCTTTTTCTATGGTTTGTATCCATATACTTACAAATGACTCCGTTCATATATTGAACGTTAGACAGCTTAAGTCTAAATACAAATCTGTGATATTTAGTTCGCTTAAACTAGTGCTCTGATACCATGATTAAAAGACCCTAACTTTCGTACTAAAGACATTGTCACTCCTAAACATGCTACATGCATATTTATAAATAATATTTTACATTGATAGTGTGATTACAAAAGACTGGATACAAACCGACTAAGTTTTAGTATATTACATAACTACCCAGGATATTATAATTTTTTATAAAAACATAAACCCAAATACAAAAGTAATAGTATAAACTATTCTAAATCTTCCAACAGTATATGACTATAATGGATTCTCATTACCTGCAATTGTTAAACACTGAGAGGGGTAAGCGGTGACGCTTAGTGAGTTCAATAATAGATACAATATAACGCTATGCCATATACATATCAATATGACAGAAGCAAAGAGGTACAAAGAACAACAAAGGCAGATGATTATCATATGACATGCTTTCCATATCAATGAATAATCTGATTCAAAGATATACGATCAATAAGACTTTTGCACATATGGCATGGAAATATAACCAATTTATGAATAAACATTTTGGCTAGCAAATTATAGGCTTTCAGCCCTGCCTAGCCTTCTGCCAATGCCATAATGGTAGAAGTCATTCTCTTACGAGACACGCTCTACACGGCCAGAGGCTACATACCTGTACCCAAGTGATGCTTATATCATACACTTCGTGGTCTAAGGTATAGCTCATTATCATAATAACACGGGAAAACACATTGAACATATAATACATAACATACAATTGTTCCTATATATTGAACTCACCTTGAAATAACCGGGGGTTAAAATTTTAATTTGGGCAACACTTCGGCTCTAAATATGACTTTCTGTGACGAAACCGGGGATTTTAGTTGAAAATCCGGACTTTACGCGGGGCAGAGTTTCGACTGGAAAGATGATTTTCTCGGGAACTTCGGGGCGTCGGGACTTGCTTCGGGTTTTAGGGATGATACCGGGACTTCGGGGGGGGGGGGGGGGGGGGGGGGGGGTTTAAAACTGGGCTAAAGAAGGTTTAGAGAGTGAGAGATATCAAAATTAGCAAACAAATCCCGAAGGCTTCGTTTTCTATTTATAGGGTGAAATTTTGGGATTCACGACGTGAACCATGCTTGTTCACGTCGAGAGGTTTGATCCCGGTCATCCCCTAGGTTTGTCGTGTGTCTTCTAGGCTCGGAACGCGTCGTTCACTGAGTTCACGTCGTGAACACTGTGTTCACGTCGTGAATACAGTCAAATTCTCGAAGTTTGTGCTCCGAACTTCAAAAATCCATATCTTTCGCATACGAGCTCCGTTTTTGATGTTCTTTATATCCACGCGTAGGTGAGATTATGCTCTACATCTTTCATTTAGACTCCGTCAACTAATTTTGATTTATTTTTTAATATTATATTATTATTATTATTTTAACGGGCCGAGACATGAAAAATCCGTTAAAATTTCATAACTTCTTCATCCGACGTCCGTTTTCGTCTGTCTTTTTACCGTTGTACTACTATTGACGAGACCTTCGATTCTCGTTTAGGTTGCTTTGCTAAAAATCAATCGATCTTTATTTCGAGTTTTTAGCTGTCTACCGCTATTCCGAAACTTAGAAAAATCATAACTTCCTCATACGAAGTCAGATTTGGGCGTTCTTTTGATGAAAATTCTCGGTTTAACAAATACTACAACTTTCATTTAGATCACCAAGGTTAAAAAGTAGTTTATCAAAAACTCACTTTTTACGTCATTCGGCGCTGTGCCGGTTTTGTCGCGAAACTTCGATTGGTCATAACTTCTTCGTTATAACTCGGATTTCAATGAGGTTTTCGCCTAAATGTTTCTAACGGGATTCTATACAACTTTCAATAATAAAATTTTACTTATTTCAAATTTTATATTTTCGTTAAATTTCAATATTAGATTGGAATCTCATAAGACTTCTAATATTTTCCGATTGATTCTAAACATAGTTTTACTTCATTTCTAGTAAAAACCATATGTTAGAACTCAATACTCAAATTTCATATAATATTTCATAACATTATTCACTTTTAAAATTACATAACACGATAACTGAACGTGTATGTTACATAGAGAAACAACAAGAACAGACAATTAGGATTCCTCGCCTATAACCATTCCAGAAGTTGCTTCAGAAACGTAACACAGTAAAAACGATTTTTGGCTACTTATAGCATCTTTTCGAAGAAATTGAAGGTAAGTGTTAATTGAAGGCATGTATCAATGTTATCCAGTTGTGTAAATTTTTATTAAACTGGTGTGAAAACGTTGAGAAGCCCTCAGCCATCGCCTCGCAGAAGAGTTTAATCGTCTGCAATATCAAGTTTGAAATTTTATTTACCTCTTGTTTACAGGAAATTAATGACTATATATGATTACAATAACCACAACCGCACCACGTGCAACCATGACGACAATGTAGCCAGCTCCAGCAACCACCATCAGCCTGAGGAACCGGCATCACCCGCCTTATGCACCTCCTTCCGATGGAGTTGATGGCTGCGCATGAGTTTTGATTTACTTTACTCAGGTCCTCCTCCACCTTATCCGCCTCAACCACCAGGTTAACCACAACACTACATGCACCTCGTGCTTTGATGAGAAACTACCTTAACCACCAACTCTAAAACCCAACAGCCACTATGATCAACTACCTGCCGCATCTACATCATGCATGGCGGGAAACCACCGTCTGCCACCATTGCAGAAACCTAACTGTCGTGTTTGTCACCAGAGCAACCATCATCACCGAAAAGATCCTGAAAATATATATGGACAATAAACCTACATATCGGGTTTATACAAAGGCGAAAACTGATTTTTCTCTCACTATCCGCAACGGAAAAGTGATTCTTGCTCCCTCTCTAACGTATCTGATCCTCTTCAAGCACATGATGAGCTTACTTCTTCTTCAAATTTCGTCACTGATTTGTTTGACCTCTAAAAAGCATTGGGTCAAAGATGATAAATTTGGCAAAAACATCAAGGATGAGGAGGGGTTTTCCTCTTTTGCGTTGGTCAACAAAGCCACTAGACAAGTTGTAAAATACCATATTGGTGTAGCACGTCGTTTAACAGAAAACCTGTTTGTAGTTTAAAAACTTATGTAGTTTTACACCAATTTACTTGCTTCTTTTATAGGTTCAGCTGACAAAATACAACCCTGATGAACTCGATGTGACTGTTCTTTGGACTAACGGATGTAGCTTGGGTGATGGGTGTAAGCAAGTTAGGCCAGTCGAAAATATGCATTTTAAACTCGATGCACACTACTAGAAAATTTGGTTTTAGCTACCAAATATTTACTATGAAAAAATTTTGTTGGAAATATCCATCTAGTTTCCTACAAACTTGCAATAAAAGTGTAATGCAATAAAATTCCAGCAAAGTAGATACCCTAAATATTCGTTTGGAAAAGTGTAGCTATTTTCCTACATAACACCAACGAAATTATTAATTAATATTTAAAATTAGTATTTTGTTGGAAATTCATAGGAAAAATAATAGCGGGAATTGAAAACGTTTTCCCACCTTTTGTCTTTGCTTCTCCCTCCTAATATTTGGAGTTAATTTTTTTTAATTTTAATATACATTATATAAAAAAAATTAACAAACAATTGATACAAAAAAACTAAAATATAGAATTTGAATTGGATAAAAAAAACTAATTATCAAGTTATTTACATTAGCAATAATAAAAAAAATAAAAAACCTAGAAAACAAATAAAAACAATAATTTGTTATGAAGTTAATAAAAACAATAATTTCTAAGATTATATATATAACTTCAAATAATCAAGACTTTTGAAACAAAGAGAGTTCAAATGTTCAATTCCTTCCAACTTGAAAACGTGGAGAGGGAAAGAGTTTTGATGCAACAAAAACAAGAAATAATGGAACAACAATTGGCTCGACTAATGAGATGATTTGGTAACCCTCCTGAAGACCAATGTTAGTTTTGTTGTTGGAACTTTTTATTAAGCATGTTGGTGAAGTATACAAATGTCATTGTTTTGGTGAAGTAGTAGATGGTAACTATCATTTGGGTGAAGTATTGGATATTTAGATAATACCTATGATTTTGTGGATATTTGGTAATTACTATCATGTTGTTGAAGTATTGAATAGTAGTTATCATTTTGGATTTGTATTGAATTATTTGTGTTTGTTATTATTGTGGTTGAAAGTGCATATTTGAAGAATTTGTATTTGATTTATAGTTTATTATATAATTTATGTAGAAACTGCATTATTTATAATTTCATTATTATTCTTAATTTATAGTATTTAAAAAAAAACTTCAACATAATACCTACAGAAAAAAAACATCGAATTAAACTTTTTTAAAAAGGGGAGTCTGTTGGAAAAGTTTATAGCAATTTCGTTGGAAACATGATTTGTAGGATGTTCGTAGTAAAAAAGGTGGCAGGGAGTCTAGGGGATGGAAATTTGTTGGAATTTCTTACGAAATATTGAAACGTGTCAGACATTTTGTTGGAAGTTTGTAGGAACCTTGTTTCCCACGGCCCTTTTTGCAACAAACACTTTTCGTCGGAACTTTGTAGCTAAACCTTATTTCCTACGAAATACCAACAATATACCTTGTAGGTAACCCTCCATTTTTCTAGTAGTGAGGGAGGCACATTGAAAAATTTGGTGGCGTGCATGACGTCGCTGAAATGGTTATGTGGCATTGGGATAATGGTGATCACCAAAAGTGGACCATAGTCCCCTGTTGTAAGTTTATCAATTCAAACTTGTTAAATGTCTAAAATACCTTTATTAGTTGGCTTGTTATATAATACTTTATGCATGTGTTTGACTGATACTTGCAATTTGTGTCATTATAAACTTATAACCCTGGTTCATTCAACTTATTTTACTTGGAATTTGTCATATCTTTTTCTATGAGACCTTTATAATTAAGACAAAAGAAGATACATACTGGAGCGTAATTTGTTACAGATAACACAATTAAATTGATAAATTTCTTACTCTTTTGCGTTTAGAGAATTAAATTTGAACTACTATTCTAATATTCATTTTCTTATACTGTTTATGCAGGATATTGTGTTCTGAAAATCTGATGTCGGGTTAACTCTCATGTGGCGTTTATCCCCATTTTGAATGATATTTTACACTTTTATGGATTTTGGTTCATGATGATAAGCTTCCCTTAATGGAGTTGAATGAATTTTGTAATATCAGAAAATATTTAGTAGTTTAACAGTATCACTTTGAAAATTATTTGCCTATAATTGTGGTTTTTTTATTTAACAGTGTATGTGCATCACGTTATTAAATACTTGTTTTAAGGCTTTAATCCGTAGAGTTGACAGAATTGAGAGAACGAGAAGATATTGCTCTAGTAGATATGCACCACTTCCTTTAGATGAATGCTACAAGCGCTTTTTGGGAAATATGCATAGTTTCTTTTTTGCTTTCTGTTTCAATTGCCAAGCTTTAACATTATAACCATATTTTAAAATATGTAACGATTGATGATAGTTTTGTAAATTACAACTTGCAAACAAAATGAAAATTTTCAATTTTCAATAGACCAAAATAACCTATAATCTCGGAGATGCATGCTTGCAATCATGGTAGGAATGTCTTCATCTCCAATAGTGAAAAAAAAATCATATTTAGATGATAGGATGGTTTTAAGAATGTTGTTAAAATAGCAATGTACTTTATTAAAGTTGAATAATGTATTTGTAAAAAAATCTAAGTTTCAATAAAAAATAGTTTCTGTTTAAGCCGCATCTTTCGTCATCTATATATATTCTTACTTTTTCTCGTATGCTACAGCCCAACACGAACTCTGAGTAACATTAATTACACTTCTAGAAAACAGAGCTATAGAAAAACGATATAATTCCGGATTAAAAAATTCTGATTTTAAAGATTTTAGCGACAGCTTTCAGACGGTTTGGCGATAGAATAACGCCCGTCGATAAACTGTTACACCGACGGATTACCGACACAGCTAGCCTTTGCACTTTATTAACACATTACAAACCGAATTAAATGATTAAATTTTGAGAAAATTACAAAAATAGCCATTTTTACTAATTACTTTGCAGAAAATAACAAAAAAAAAAAAAAAACAAGATTACAAATTTAGCCACTAAAATCGTAGATGGATTAGGGCCATCTGCGATTCTTCCTTCACACCTGCGAACGTACAAGTTGGTAAAACATGGATGTGCATTGTATTGTTGTACGTTCGCAGATGGAAAGGTCCATCTGCGAACCTCGATATATCCCCCATATAAATACCCTTTTTTTACACTTATTTTTCAAGTTTTTGGTTGGGGAAAACTCTCTGCGGGAGCTATGGATGAAAACATCTACTCTCTCGAAAACATGGTAAGATCTTTTACTGATTTTGTGTTCTAATCATCATTTATTATGTTTATGGTAAGTTTTTTTAATGAATTATGCGGAAAAATAGGGAAAAACGAAAATCGGAGGTGTTACTGTAACATCCCATTTAAATATAATAATTAAATAATAGACCCGAAACCCCGAGAAGTAATTGTTATTATTATTTAATATTATTATATTCCAAAATCAAATAATAATTAGCAGGGTGTTGGTTTCAGGAAGCCAAATGACAAGATTCGAATCTCCGGGGGTTAAAAGGGTATGTTAAGTGTCTAAGTGAAGAGAATTTGTAAAGGAGGGGCCATTTAGTAACTCTCGGACTTAGTTTGTAAGGATTTTTAAAAGACAGGGACTAAAGGAGTAAATTTCGGACTCAAGTTGACAAGGCTCTTATGGGGAGGGACCAAACGTGTCAATATGCACTTATTTAATGGTGGACACGGGTTGAACCCGTCACCCTCTTTCAGCCTACATATATACTCATAACACACCCATCCAAACCCTAACCCTAATGGAGATGCCAGCCGCCACCACCCTCACCTCCCAACCTCCGTCCACCGCCACCTCCATTGCTGAGGTCGGAAGCCGCCAAACCACAGCAACCACTGCCGACATCGCACCCATCGGAGACCGTTGAATCCAACCGCCGGTGCAGCCATGACGACGACGAATAATCCCACGTGACGCCTGTTCTATGGGTCGCCTAACCGTTTAGCGTCGCCGCTGTCGTCGCGGTCAACCCTTCTCCACCTCCTTCTCTTTGTCGTCGGTCGTAGCATCGTTGTTGTTGCGGTCGCTGACTGTTCTATCTATATGGCAGCAGTGTTCTTGGGTTGTGATGGAGGTGCTCGTGTGAGTGGATTTTCGGATGAGCAGAAAGCCATGAAGAACCACCATGGCAGCCAGCTATGGTGGCAGCCGCCGAAGACGAGGTTGTTGTCGCCGCTGCCTGCCTTATTGCGTCACCATCGCCGCCGTGAGCCACCAGGGGGTGGCTGGGGTGTATTCTGCAAACCTGAACAATGGGTGTGTCGTGTGTGTATGTCGTGTGTGTGGTGTCTTGGCCGGAATCGCAAGAAGGCCACCACCACCACCATAAGGTAGTGGCTGCCACCCTCTACCACCGTCTGCCGCCTCAAGGTGGTTGTATGTGTAATTATGAGATGTTTATTTTGGGCTAGTGTGTGTATCATTGTAATTTGTAATTGGAATAATCTAGAAAACCTATAACCACCACCTTAAGGTGGTGGCTGCCGCCACCGGCCGCCGTGTCGGGTGGCGGTGTGCTTTGCCTTGTTGTGTTTGATTCGTTTGGGATGCATGACACCCTAGTGGGTCCAATGAGGCCCTAATGGGCCCAAGGAAACCCTAATTGACCTAATAAAACCCTAATGGGCCCAATGAGGCCCAAATTGATCTAAAAGCCCAACCAATTGACTAATGGGCTAGTATTGGGTAGGAAACCCTAATTAGGGTTTGGAAAACCCTAATGGCTTAAAACCCTAATTTTTGGGAATTGATCGGGACACACACAAGAATTATTTAATAAACTTAAAATAATAAATTATAATCATTGGCAAATAAACCTAAGGCAATAATGGACTTAATGGATTAAGTCCTTAATGGGTTAAGTAGGAACACTTAACCCTAATTGTCATTTCATGTGAAAACCCTAATTTCACATGGGCCTTGAGTTGGGCCTTCTTATTGGGCTTTGGCGATTGGACTATAGGTGGGCCATCCAAGAACAAGCTAATGGACCAAAGTAATTAGTTGGGCTTTAGGATAAGGCCCATGTGAGGACTTGGGCCCAATTTGGAAAATTGGGCCATAGATGGGCCATAATTGAGACTTTATGATTATGTGATATTGGGCCATGGGAATTAGATTGGAATAATTGGATGGGCCTTGAGGAAAGACTATGTTGAGTTCTGGGCCCAATTTGGAAAATTGGGCCATATGTTGGGCTTTGGCCCATTATTTGACTCTTGGGTTTTTGTAGTGTGAGTTGGACCTTGGGGCTTGGAACCTAATTATTAATTGGGTATTGTATGATGTTGACAGTTCGGGGATTTGTCAACCAACAGTTGGAGTTTTATCTGCAGGACTTCAGCAGTGCCAGGTGAGTTATCCTTACTATACTAAGGGGTCTAAGGCACCAAGGCCGGCCCATTGGATATGTTATCCTAGCAGTGGTTATGTTGAGTATGAGTTAGTGTTTCATGCTAGTGGTTATGCCAGTTACGTAGATCTGTAGGACTACCTGTGTTGTTATATAAATATATGCTTGCTCAGGAGTTATGTTATATGTTGATATGTTATGTGGGATGGGTTGAGGTGATACTGCTCCGTGCGGTAACCAACAAACTCGGGAGCATTCCAGATACGGGCTAAGGGAGGCTCGTACTGTGGGCTCAATGGCAATCCAGATGTGTGATGTGGGCCCGGAAGGCAATCCAGACTCATACTGTGGGCCTAGTGGAAATCTAGTAGGTGGAGCATTCCAGATACGAGCTGAGGGAGACTCGTACTGTGGGCTCGATGGCAATCCAAATGTGAGCTGTGGGCCCAATAGGCAACCCAGAGTCACACTGTGGGCCCAGGGGTAATCCAGTCTGTAATGATGTGGACCCATTATATGCTGTTTAGTTTGTTATGTTATGATGTTGATGACATGGTTATGTGGACTGTATGTGTATCGGTATTTTGGGGGTAACTCACTAAGCTTTCGGGCTTACAGTTTGAGTTTATTGTTTCAGGTACATCAGGGGATCGTGGCAAGGCAAATGCGTGATTGTAGAGCTCCTCACTTTTTGTGACTTTGTTTCTGGGATACTCTAATATGATACATTTTGAAAACAAGTTTGTAATAGTCAATGGATTTGAAATGTTTTTAAAAGTTTAAATTGGCTTGAATTTTATGGGTGTTACAGTTACCCTTCCGATTTTCATAGATCTGTGTGTTATATTCGATCTTTAGAGTATTTCATAAGTAGTCATGCGGTTTTGAGAGCATTTCATACTTGGTATTGTTAGTATATTGCAGATATGTGATTGTACAAGTATGTGGTGTGTAAATCGTGCATTATGAGGTTGTACATTAGGTTTTCATAGATTATATTGGTAGTAAACTGATTTTTGATGCAAGTGTTATGCAAATATGTCATAGAATTTTTCTATAAATATGATTTGTGTGATAAAATTGATTTATAAAGCGTCTTGAAGTTGTACCTTTGCATCTTGAAGTTGTACCTTTGCATTTCATAGTATGCTTTTGTTATGAAATTGATTATGATGCTATTATTATGCAAATGTGATAGACTATGCATTTTGTAGTTGATTTTCTCGTGGTAGTATGCCGCAAATACCCTTTTCACATCTTGTTTTATTTCAGCACAACTGTAAAAATGTTAAAGTTGTGGTTAATCTAAAAGGATCAGGGTGTAATATATGAGAAACATTTGAACAAATGAATGTTGCTCGACGTGAAGCTTTTAGAAGGACCGTTTTTGGTTTTTTGTTGGGCGTCCCTTCATTACAAGGCGACAGGTTGCTATTCCACAAAATGTTTCTTCATCAGATACGGGAAGACGCAGTATTATCTCCAAATGACATAAAGCGATTGTATTTTAAAGTGGGTGATACGAAAATGGTTTATGGTCATGAAAAGTTTTGTCTGATCACCGGATTTAATTTTGGAGTGTATCCAAAACAAATAGGAAAAAAGTGTCCGAAAAAAAAGCAAATTGGTAGTAAAAAAAGGTGTTTATTGCGGGAATGTCTCTTTCCGAACAAAAATATAGTTCGGTGACAATATCTGATTTGAAAAGTTTCTTA